GACCCTGATGGTGGTAGCATGTACCTTTAATCCCAGCACACAGGAGGCAGAGTTAGGCAGATCTCTGAGTTCAAGGTCACCTAGTCTAAAAAGTATGTTCTAGGACAGCCAGGGCTATACAGAGAAGCCTGATCTTAAAAGATGGAGGATGAGGAAGAGAAGAAAAAGAATGAGCTAGGGAAAGGGGTAGAGTGTTGTGGAACATTCTTCTGGGCACAGTATGAACACTATACTCAGGATCTCAGCTGTAACTACTTATACAATACATACATAAGATTGGGCCCATCACTATCCTGTCATAGAACGGGAAGAGGTTCATGAGGTTACCTCTCTTTAAATATGTATAAACAGTTAATGATTGCTGGGGGAGGGAAAAACATTTTCCTTTAGTGGTGTAGCCACTGGTAAGGTACTTATCCCCCAATAAATAACACCACACCCACGCATTTATTCAACCCAACGAGACTATTTGTGTTACAAATAAATAAATTAGAGACATTAAAATAGAAGGAGGACTAGTTGGAAAAAGAGGAAAAATAGGAATGGAAAGGGCAGAAGATTGGGCAATAAGAGGTGAATATAATCAAAATATATTACATGCATGCACGAGTCAGTAAAATCTGGTTATATATATATATTATATATATATATATATATTACATCCTAATAAAACAAAGGACAATAAATTTTAACATATATGTTTTCTTCAACTAGACTAAGACTAAGACTAATAAGCATTTTACTGAAGGGAAAAAACTCCATTTGTTAAGTGGGTGTCAAAAATTAATGGATGGTTCATCATGTTACTCCATTTACTTGTCATAAAAGCCATGCATGCCCACAAGAGCTTATTGATGATGTTTCAGGTGAAGCAACTGAACCTCAAGGTTAAAATCAAGGTAAAGTAAATTATTCTTGGCCACACAATCTTAAATCAGTCCTGGGGCAGTCTTGCATGTGCTGTGTGCTCACTTGCTAGGATTGTTTTAAAATCTTCAAAAAGAAGCTGTTCTGAAGAGTTTCTGGGTGTTCCTGGGGTTGTGAGAATCACTGAATAAGCTACAGTCCAGCTGTCCAGTGAACTATCAGGCCATGGATTTAAATGTGGATCAACAGAGCATTATTCCAATCATAATTTGCACCCTCTAGTGGCACAAAATAGAACATCATTCACTGCAGGTAACAGGTGAATCCACCCCACTCTACCATTACCACTGTCTTTTGTAATAAGCTTTGGGGAGTTACTAGAAGTTATTACTATCAATATGACTCCACGGCTCTTAGCTTAGGTTCTCCTCCCTGAAAAGCATGGCATGTGAATGTGTGTGCACACAGAAGTGTGCCATTGATCCACTAACCCTATGGACTTTACTTTCCCTGTTTCTGTGTTTACCAGATAGGATAGTGACCTAAGCACTATTTCCAAGTCTGCTTTGGGGTTATCAAATTTTTACCCCAGGAATGGAGGAAAGGAGAAACAGGCAAGAAGAGAGGTGCTGAGTAGTCGACTATACATCTGCTTTTATTTCAGACGGAATTCTGGGGTTCCTTCTGGTTTTGTCAAGACTCCCATCACTTCCCTGTTGCACTTGCAACTCAGATTGCACTGGCAGTAGGAGTTGTGACTGGCCTTGGGGGTAGGCAACGGGTGCAGGTGTGGCTGTATAAGATTTTCTTGCATTATCAGCCAAGAGCTTTGCTGCAAAGGTCAGTGAAAACTTGAACAATGATCTTTTTAAAAAATATTTATTTAATTATTATGTATACAATATTCTGTCTGTGTGTATGCCTGCAGGCCAGAAGAGGGCACCAGACCCTATTACAGATGGTTGTGAGCGACCATGTGGTTTCTAGGAATAGGACCTTTGGAAGAGCAGGCAATGCTCTTAACCTCTGAGCCATCTCTCCAGCCCCAACAATGACCTTTATAAAATAAGCATTTAAAGTAACATGATAAAAACCTCTTCTAAAATTATGACTGTTTTTATCCCACAAAATTTTACAAATTTCAATAAATTCAAAAGACAATAAATTTAACTTAAAAAAGAATTTTTTCCACTCTAGCAAATGAAAAGATTGAACAGTGATAAAGAACACATAGAGGGTTTCTTTCAAATTAGCAAAGCACATGTCTATAGGATGATAACCGAGGTTGCTAAGCAAGCAGTTTAGGCTGTGCTGTTCACTCACCTGACTAGGAGCCTCCCCAGGGGCTAGCTCTGTTCTAAACCAGTGATAACAAATTTGGACACGAGAATCTTCAGGGGTGATTTACAGGGCTTATCAGTTTTCTACTGCCCCCAAATTCTGACTTAAGCCATTTAAGACCTAGATACAGAAATTATTTAAAGCTCCCTACTGATTTTAACAGATATTCACGCTTTGGAACTACTGTTCCAGAAGCCCTCTTTAGAATTACACACAGTATTAAGTAAGAGAATGGGTATATATCAGTATATATCAGTAGTTCTGAGACAACTTAGCTGAAGAGGCTTGCCCTACCTTATTGTCTTGAGCTATGTAGTCTATGATGTTTTCATTTGGTAGCCTGAGCAAACTAAGACACAACCTTAATCATATATCAAGTCATATACAGTTTACTACTATATTTTCTTTATTTTATAGTTAAGCCTATCTTATTCAAGCACCAGTTGTGCTGTGGGACAATGGTTGGTACCCTGTCAATTGTATTTTAATAAAATGCTGACTGGCCAGCCAGGCAGGAAGTATAGGCAGGGTGAGAACAGGAGAATTCAGGGAAGAGGAAAGAGTCAGTCTACACTTGTCACCCAGACATAGAGGAAGCCAGACATAAAGCAAGCAAGATGTGACTGACTCACCAAAAAAGGTACCAAGTTACATGGCTAACACAGACAAGTATTATGGATTTAGAAGAGTTAATAAGAAGCCTGAGCTACTAGGCCAATCAGTTTATAATTAATGTAGACCTCTGTGTGTTTATTTGGGACTAAACAGCTGTGGGATCTGGGGGTGACAGAAACCTCTGTCAACAAATGGTGCACAACTTGTGGAGAACTGCATCCACATAAAGCCTGAGAGAGCTTGAGAAGTAATTCTAGAAAAAAAGAACAGTTGCACAGCTTCTTGGTAGCATTTTCTCAGGTGTGCTCTATTTGCTAGGGGCAAACATATTTCATTTAAGAGAGGCTTCCTGACTCAGCTTTAGCTGCGAAACCTTGCAGCTCTTTTAAGAGGCCCTGCCACCAAACACTTAAATGATATTTATGAATAGCCAACAGAATGCTTCTTGGTGGTGTCAGGGACCTTTGAAACGACTTAGAGTTGAGGCAATAAACACTGCTCCTTGAGGCTAGACTCTCAGAAAGGTAAGGAATGGAGTGAATACAGCCAGCAAAGTCACGACTTTAATCCTAGCCATATGGCTTAGCAAATTAAAGACTCATGTGATCAGAAAAAGAGAGATACAGTAAAGATAGTTTCAGAAGAAAAAGTCTCTAAACCGTTTAAAGTGTGTTTAAAAATATATGTAGGCTTGGGAGAGAAAAGAAAAAAGAGTTAGTTGGGTGTGGTGGCACACACCTTTAATCCCATCAGACTGATGGCTATCTTAAATATCACCATAGAACCTTCACCTAGCAACTGGAGGAAACTGTCAGAGACTCACATAGGAGCACTGGACTGAGCTCCCAAAGTCCAGAGTGGGAGGAATGAGAGTGTGAGCAAGAAGGTCAAGACCATGAGGGGGACATCCACTAAAACTGTCTACCTGATCTAATGGGAGCTCACCAACTCTAGCCGGACTGGGAAGGAACAAGCATAGGACCAAACTAGTCCCTTTGAATGTGGCTGACAGTTGCATGGCTGGGGCAGACTGAGGGACTATTGGCAGTGGCACCAGGATTTATCCCTAGTGATTGTACTGGCTTTTGGGGAGTCTTATTCTCTTTGGAGGGATACCTTGCTTAGCCTAGATATAGTATGGGGGGCCTTGGACCTTCCTCAAAGCAATGTCCCTTACCCTCTCTGAGGAGTGGATGGGGGTGGGGTTGGAGGTTATGTAAAGAGATGGGAGGAGAGGAGGGAATGGGAACTGGGGTTGGTATGTATAATAAAAAAGTTTGTTTTCGTTTTTTTAATTAATTAATTAAAAAAATTTCATTTTACATTCTAATCACATGTACTACTCCTACTCCTTCTTGCCTCATCCCCAGCCCACCTCCCATCTACTCCTCCCAAAGGAGTTGACTTCTCATGGCACATTAAGTTGAGGCACATGGGTAGGATTTGCTGAAGGAGGCGGAGGCAGGAGGATCATGAGTTTGAGGCCATCCTGGGACACATTCTATTTCATGATAAAGTGGTACTATATTTGTATTTTAAGGCAGACACAATCAAGTACATATAAAATAACACAATAGAGGACAGAATGTCATAACTGTGTTGTTTACTTTTCTATATATTTGAAATTTTCCCACATAATTTTTATATGGAAGAAAATGTTAAACTCTTTCAAATAATACATATCCCAGAAGCTCAATTAATATACTTCAGCATCCTGAAGGGAACATGGCCCTGAACCCTTAACTTAACACTCTCTTTCTCCCATGAAGACTCACTGCAATCAATAGTAACTGTCAGTAACTGATGAGATGGCCTGATTTCCTCAGGTATTGATGCAGAAGAAAAGGATGATGGTGATCTAAAAGAGGAGTATGATTATTAGTTTAACTAAAAGAATAGATTTCTTTAATAACGGATTCTTAATAAGAAAATTCCAAGGACCAAGTAAGCACTGGGAAAGAAGAACTGGGGGAGGCTACATGAAAGACAACATAAGTGAAACAACTGAGAAAGAGTATGGTTTCTTGTTAGGTTAAAATACAGTGTGTGAGGACTAGACACTCTATACTAATGTAAAGATAACTCACTTTCTATTAGGTGGGTCTTTTAGGGAAACTACTCTGAAAAAGAAAGGGTAAGTCATGTGTTCCAGGGAGAACAGGTATATAGTTACTCACCTAGTGGGGGCTGCAGCATGCCACCATTCTTCTCACAGTTTCCAACTGGCTGTATCTCAGAGGAGTCAACCAGTCTCCAGAAGTCATTCTTGTTGTCACTGCCATCAAGGCGCAGGCGCAGTCGGGCACCTGTCAGTCCAACTACTGTGGCAATGCAGGTGGATGTCGTGTTCCTGGGGTCCTGGGCTTCTAGTTTCATGCTGATCTTGAACTCATTGCTTGGAGGTGTGTAGGACTGAGAAGAACAAGCCAAGCAAATTAGACAGAATAAGTATAAACCACATTTCAGTAGAAATATGAAAGAGGTGAGAATCAAAAATGTATGGATTGGATTCAAATTGGTTGTAGATGGCCAGGGATAACCAGTCTGGCATATTCCCTAACCTTTAGGAAAGGTGTTATGCAAATGAAGTGTTAGAAAGTCCTACTCCTCTAAAGTAGAAATGCTGACTCAGACCAGTACAAGACAGGGTAGGAGTGTATGATGATGTCCACGGCTCATTTGCTCTTCTACAGCTAACACACAGACTATTAGGGGTTGACGTTCTTCTTATTTTAATGTTAATTCATACATCAATTATCACTGACATATAGTAAACTATACATTTTGGTAAGTCTCGACATATGCCATCATATGTACTCTACCTCTGAAAGCACCATTATGATCAAGACAATGACCATGCCATCATCCTCAAGCCCGCACATGTTTCTCTGTAATTTCCTTCTCCAGCCCCTCTCCTTCTAGTCTTAGATAGAGTCATGGAGAAGTACTGTTTTTTTATTGTCTAGATTTTTTTAGTCAGTGTAAATATTATGATATTCTCAATATTATTGACCTTATCGGTACAACTGGAGTATATCTCATCTAAAATTATGAAATTCAAAATGAGAAGCTTTGTCACTGACATGCTGGTACAAGAAAATTCTGTATTTGGCATTATATGATGTGTTGAATTAAAAATATCATTAAAAATATTGTATAATTACCTTCAGACCATGGGCATAAGGCATGTAAGAAACAATAATAAATTGCATGCTTAGATGGGTCATATCCACAAGATACTTTACAATATAGGAAAATATTCCAAAATCTGAAATCTAAAACACTTCTGATTTCAAAAGCTTAATATCCCTGGATCTGATATGCATTTCTTTTTGTTGCTGAACAGCAGGTCATTTGGTTTAATTCTAGTTTTTGGCTTTTATAAACATGTGGCTATATACATGCATAAGCAAATATTTGTATGAAATATACAATAGTACATTGGAAAATACCCTCTGTATATGTTAGTACAGGAACCCTTTTATCTACCTACCCATTTTTTTTTTTTTTGAGGTAGGTGTTTCAACCATAGTCCAGCTGTACCTGGACCTCACCATGTTGTTCAGTTGGGCTTCTAATACCATGGTCTTGCCACTTAGTCCCCCAAGTGTTGAGACTAGAGATGTACACCACCACACCTGGCTTTTCCCAAACATTTCTGGTCTGCTATTGGATAAATCTACAGATACGGAAGCCGCAGACCCACAGATCGAGGGTCATTTTCTTTTCTCTTGCATAAGTTTCTAACAGTAGAATGGCTGGCTGATGTGGGTAGGTATGTGTGTAACTCATACACCAAAAATTAACTCCTTTACAGTATATAAGTACTTTTTAGCATATTAATAGTTGACTAAATACCAAACCTATCCATTTTATAACATTTCATCATCATTCTAAAAGAAATCCCATCATTTTTAGGAGTTATCTTCCATTTCCCTCTCTGCAGAGACCTCAGACACTATCAATTAGCCTTGTATGGATGCATTCCATTTTGCTTACTTATCATTGATGGATATTTGCATTGTTTCCTCTTTGAATATTACATATGCCTGATATTAATAAAATTAATTATAATTTTTCCTTAGGAAGTTCATAGTCACACTTCAGTTTGTCTGTCTCATACATAAAGACTAGATTAAACTACATTTGGTAATAAAAATACACACCTGTTTCATAATACTTAATTCTTATTTACTGCATCAAAGCCAGGAATCAGTTTGTCTTGAGTAAAGGTCCTTAAAGGACTAGGAGACCTCCTCATGCTGCTAAGAGGAACAGTGTAGAGCTATGCCTCTGTTCCTTCACCACTTGCAGAATTACATCATTTTTAAAGAGTGATAATTTGACTTTTCTTTCTTTCTCTTGCCAAACTGTTCTAGTTAAAATTTGCTCTAGTTAAAATTTCTAATATTATACTAAATAAAAACTGTGGCAATACAAATTTCAAGACACATTAAGAACTATACTAACCACAACAGTAGGATATTTCGATTCTTACCTGGGAGAATATGTTTTCAGTTTTCCTCATTCAGTAGGATGTTGCCTAAATGTCTGTCATATACAGACTTTATTATGTTAAGGCACAATTTTTCTATACCTAATACATTCTGGAATTTTATTATGAATAACACTGAATGTTATCACTACTGTTTCTGCATCTATTGAGACAATCATGATTTATATAATTCATTCAATTTATGTTATGTATATATTATATAATATGTATCTGATTTGTATATTCTGAAACATTCTTGCATCCCTGGAATGAAACCAACTTGAACATAATGTATGATCTTTCTGATAAACTCTTGATTTTAATTTGCAAGCATGTTCTTGAGGATATTCCCCTTTTTGCCCAGTAGGATTATTGCTCTGTAGTTTTTTCTCTTGTTATGTTGTCAGACTTTAGTAACAGGTATTTCAGATGGAACAGAGTAAGTTGGGAAGGGTCCCCTCCTTTTCAGTTGTTTTCTACGTTTTAACAATCAGCACATAGGTGCTAGAAAACACTATAACATTTTCAAAGTATGATTTTGCTCTTCTTCCCATCCCAACCTTGCTCCTCTGTGTAGTCACATCCACACATACCTATGCACTCCTACATACAATGATTCTTGTCTTCTTTTATGATCTGAGAAGCATTAGTACTAGTTCTTTAGAAGTTTGGATAAACTCAGGAGCTTGGGATGTAGTTCAGCTGGTAGGGTGCTTGCCTACTGAGTACAAAGTCCTTGGGTTCAATCCCCAATTCTGCATAAACTGGCATGTGAATGCAAGCAGATCAAAAGTTCAAGGTCATCCTCAGCTATATAGGGCGTTTGAGAGCAGACTGGAATATATAAGACCATCCCCACCTCCTCCCATACACATGCACACACATACACACACAAAAAAAAAAAGGGAAAAAAGAAAAGAAGACGCAAAGAAGAGATAACATAAATAAAAAAAGTTGCATCAAATTCAGCAATGTAACAATCTGGACCCAGGATCTTTTTAGTGAGACTCTTTATCACTGATTCAATCTTTCAATATTACTATTTCTTGTAGATCTACATTTTTGGGCTATGTACAGGTGTGCCTATGGTGAAGGTGCACACGCATAAGCACACATTCATACAGAAGCCAGAAGAGGCCAGTAGGTGTCCTGCTGTGTCATTCTCCAACTTATTTTTTTGAGACAGAGTCTCTTACTGAAGCTGAGGCTAGGTTGGCAGCCAGCAAGCCACAGAGATCCACAAGGCAGGGGTTACATGTCGGTGGTCATGCACACCTTTTGAGTACTCGGGTCCTCATACAAGTGCTCTTATCCACAGGCCTTAATTTTTTTTTTTAAAACTGATTTATAGAACTCTTCATTTTCAATATTCTGACTGGTTCTTTTTGGAAATCTCCATCTCTCTGCTAAATTCCTCACTCAGCATTGCCTTACTAATTTCACTTAACTGCTTGTCTGATTTTCTTGAGATTTTAAGAAATAATTCTTTTGAATTTTCTAACAGGTATTTCATCTACTTTGATCTCTTTGGAATACCCTACTAGAGTGTTATGAATGGACTTTAGGAGATGCTGTATTACCTTGTTCTTCACAGTTTTTGTGTTCCTATATTAAAGCTTACATATCTGCTGCAGTGGATAGCCTTATTACTTTTATGGAATGGACTTAACGTTTTCCAGAGATGTACCTTGATCATTGACTTATTGACATTCAATGCCAATGCTATTTCCAGTTGAACACCATAGAATAATCTGTCTGAAGCACATTTGTTTATGATCAATGAGTTTGGATATAGTGTGTTAATACCAGTTATATCTGTATTATATCAGAATCAGAGAGAACTACTACTATCTCTCTGGGTGATACAAGCAAGACTGGAGATACTCACGTAGTTCAAGCAAATGTGATACAGAAAGCAGTATGTGTGGGTATACTCTGTGCTAACTCCTATAACGAAACTTGTGACCCCTACAGGGTCATTTGTTTACTTAGGCAATGATGATATTCATTTTATTACTTGAACCCTCTGGCATTTGCTATTCCAGTAATGAGGACCCTGAGGTACTTGTCCTCTGATCTGACACTGGCATGGGTCCAGCACTAGACAGAGAGGGTGTAACAGGAATCTCTGTCTGTGGCACTCATCCCCTGACTTAAAAGGAGGGTGTGGTAATACAGAGCAATCAATGCAATGATCAATGAGATGTAGGGAATGTTGTGTTGTTCTTCTGCTGTGAGAATGCCTGCCCTAGAGTGTTACTTCAGACCTGAAGATGTATGGAGACCTCCCCCAGTTTTTCAGATACAGTGCCTAAGAAGGATAAAGTGGGGATGGATCATGACTGAAATCTGGCAAATTCCTCTCAGAGAGGTGTTAACTAAAGGGAGGGCAGAATAGGGCAGATATTGGCTATAGTTTCCTTGGACTTTGATAGGCATTGTATCTGAGGCAGGAGTACAGCTGGGACCATGGGGATGCTCAAATATTTCCAGCACATCTCTGCAACAGGAGAGTAGTAGAAACCCATTAATTGTTTCTCTAAGTTATAGCAACGAGTTACTGTGGGTAGTGGTGGGAGAGAAGTGTCAGGAACAACATGTACAACTATTTCAGTCCTGATACCCATGTGAAACATGTCATATGCCACATTTCCAGTTTCAGAAGGTAGTATTAATCTCATGTTTTTGCAAGTGGCAGCCTCCACTTTCCTCCCTGTTATAACATCTGATGCCCAGCTATGTAGGGGATGTGTCTCAGAATCATTCTATCTAGCCATGTCTGACAAGGCAAAATGCACTGAGCCTTTACAGTAGAATGTCTACCAGTCCCCAGAATTAGGAATATACAGAGTTTCTGAATTCTAAAGCAGTTCTAATTCAGACAATAGGTTTCCTTTCAAAATGAATAGCAGTATCACCCTTGTGGTTTATTTAGAGTTGGAAGTCTAAAGCCAGGCTACTGTGAAGCTTTTTGGCCTCTTCCTTATTTGGACTGCAAGCCTAGAAGAACTATGAAGTTCTCAGAAGCCAGCAGAATAGCTATTTAAGCTGGCATGTTGGAGAGACTCTGTTCCACCTTAATCCCTGTGTAGAGAAACTTCTCTCTAGGTTGTTGTGCTAAGGTGAGGCATTTTGTTTATTTTGCTCTGCTGCCGTTCGAGGCCTCTGGATTTTGTAGTTTGTCTCCTGTTGAACATGTAACTATATGCTTGTTCCTTCCTTTCTTCACTGTGGAGAAGCCCTTTCCTGATGGATGTTCCTATCTAGCTATTTTGCCTTCCTGCTTTTTTCTTTCTTTTAAAGGCTACTTTGATTGTTCTGAGTTTCTTGTGGCTCTATATAAATTGTAGGATCAATTCTGTCAATTTCTGTGGCCAAATTATGTATCATTTTGGGGAGTACTGTTGTACTGTCATGATTTACAAATATTTTCCCTTAATATGGCTTGTATCTTAAAGATAACTTACAGTTATTTTTATTATTTTTAATTATATGTATGTGTATTTCTGCATGTAGGTATGTGTACGTGAGTACAGAGGTGCCTGCAGGTCCAGAGGTTTTAGATGCCTTGGAGCTGAAGTTACAGATGGTTATAGGTTGCCTGATTGGAATGCTGGAACTGAACTCAGGTCCTCTGAAAGAACAGCAAGAGTTCTTAACTGCTGAGTCACCTTTTCAGCCCTCACAAGTATCTTTTGAGGAACAGAAGTTTATAATTCTGAAATTTTCCTTTTTTGTGTGTATGTTGTATATGTATGTATACATGTTCATGTGTGTGCATGTGTGTGACCAGAGGTCAGTGTGAGCTGTCTTCAACTGCTCGTTAGTATTGAATGGGTGTGTACTTGCCTGTATGCATGCATGTGGAAGTCAGAGGTTGATATCAGGTGTCTTCATCTGACACTCTCCACCTTAAGTTTTGAGACAGAGTCTTTCATAGCATGGGCTGTTGTGCTTGGTCTACACTTGGGTGCTAGGGATCTAAAGTTAGGTCCTTGTACTTGAGCAACAAATATTTTATTGACTAAGCCATCTCCTCAGCCCTTCCTTTTATTATTTTTAATTTTATAGAGCATTTTTGACCTGATAATTTTCTATATGTGAGTTTTGGACATTTTTAAGTTCACCTTGCCCCTTTGGCTGCTATTTTAAGTCAGGGTTTCACTTCTGTTACATATTCTGTTGAATTATTTTAAATAATTGACTAGAATGCTAATTTAATACTGAGGCACATTTTCTAGGGATTATATTATTCTAGTCTAACAGCTCTTTTCCTTCAGTATTATGATGTTTTACTGCCAAGGATAAGGCATTGTTTATTTCTGCTAGCAGCTAATAAGAGTACCTTTTGCTCCATATCTTTTCACCACTAAATGTATCTGTCATCTTTTAAATCATAGCCACTAAAAAAATGTATGGTGATATCTTAGTTATCATTACCTCACATATTCCTTTCTTTCTTCTCTTCAGGAACACCAATTACACATTGATCTGGCGAGCAGAAGCTATGGTTTGATGTTCTCTTTTCACTTGTATCTGAATTGATTCATTCTGGGTAGTTTCTGTTCCTGTGTCCCAGAGTTTATTAATATTTTCTTGCAACATTAATATTAACCAGTGCATTTTTAATTTTGCATATCATGAGTTGAGAGTCTTGACATCTTTAATTTCTCTGTTTACATTTTGAACATATCAAATAATTAATAGTTAAGTTGTGTATCTTCTGTTCTGTCCGCTGCATAGGTCCTGAGTCAGTTTAAACCAATTGATTATTCTCCTTACTACTGATTGCACTCTTTGCATGCCCACAGTCTTTGACTAGATGTTAGGTACTGTAGATTCTATCATTGGGTACAAGATATTTTTTGCATTTCTATAAATTTTCTTGTGATTTGTTTCTAGATGTAGTTTCATAGGGACAGTTTGATCCCTTCAATTATTACCTTTATGAGTTTTTTAATGCACGTGTGAAGCGCATGTCTGAAGCAGTGCTCAGATTATGATTATGGAAAAGGCTTTCCAATGTATTCTTCCAATACTCAATTTATGAAGAGATTTTCCAGGAACTATGCTCAGTCTTGTGTTAGTATCAAACTCTCTTCTAATATTTTCAGAAGGATTTTTCACTGGCCATAAGTAGTTTCCTGTTACTCAACAG